GCTGTTCTCCACACTGTATCAAAACATTTTCTTAAATCCACAAAGCAGCAGAATATTTTTTCCTTTCTTAATTGATATTTTTTAATAATGGTGTGGAGTGTCAATATATGGTCAGTAGTGCGATGTTTGTTACGAAAACCTGCTTGGTTTGGATGTATGGTGAAGTTACTTTCTAAATAGCTGGATATTCTTTTGTTAATAATACTACTAAATATTTTAGCAATGATGTACAGGAAAGGCATTTCTATGTCTTTCCAGGTATCAAACTGTTTCAATTGTGAACATACATCAGAACAGTTATGACACTGGCTTCTTTGATATTATTTTTGAAATTAAAGCGTATGTTTGTGGAATAATGGAATAATTAAATAAAATAAATACCACACATCAAGTGTTCCTAATAATATTCTAATTGTCATTGTTTTTGCATAAATCTTTACAAAAAAGTAAGCAGCTATAATCATATACTAACATTTCTGGCTGAGATTAAATTCATTAATGTCCTATGAGTGGTTTTTGAAATACTCATGTAATTGGCTAATTATAATGCTAATGAAATTAAAATTAGACAGCTCTGTAGATAATTCCAACTCACTTGATGTACAGAATTTCATGGAAATTGTGTTTCCTGAAAAATCATTTTTATAACTTATATAACTTGACAAATACAATAAAATATTGACACCAACAAAAACAAATACCTAAGCAAGTCAGGACTGCAAAATGTCCATTTGCACACATATTATCTTTGAAAATTCTGATAACAAATGATATTCTTATCATATTTATGCTAATTAATATGCACAGATTTCATGCAAAAATTAACCAGGTCTGCTATATATCCCAAAAAACCTAATTTTCAAGTTTCTTGAAATCCAATGTTTCAATTTTTGAGATATCAGTGGAATAGTCGCACATTCACTCTGTCTATATTTGTAGCAAATTAAACCATACTTGAAACATTATGCCACTTCTGTACATATTATATTACATTTATAATTCATCATACTGAATTTCTAACACATACCACATTTGAAATACATTATACTATATTTGTATCACATTATGCCACATTTGTAATACATTCTACCACATTATTAACATATTTGTAACACATGATATTGTATTTCTAATACACTCTGTTTGCAGACTGCCTTAGCTGTAAGTGTAAATTTAAGGACATTTGTTCAGCTTAAAGAAACTGACCAAGTAAAGGTGGTTTTAGATTTGCCAGACATTAAACTTCACAATGCATGGGAAATGGAAGATATCTCAAAAGCGTTTGAAGATATTATAATAGGTAAGCCTATGACAGAACTCCACACCCTCCCCATGGCTTTCACTGCATATGGAAGTTATTTTCACAAGTGATGCGGTGTATCCTGTGGCCGCACTTTCACATGAGCGAAGCTCGGGAGGGTGAGGGTGTAGGGTTCTGTTATTATTACATAAGCTCCATATTTGATTATTTTATATTAAAGAAAGAACGTGCAACACACCGGTATGGGATTTCGGTCGGGGAACCCCATTGCCCATTAGTATGTTCCAAAATAGTGTTACGCCCTAGCAACACGTGTCAGTGTAGAACGTGTGTCACTGTCTGTGTGAAAATAAAAAAATCAAACGTTTAATCTGAGTCACTGTCTGAATAAATAACTTGTGGGCGTTTAGTTGGGGCCATGACAGAACCAGAACTTGAACTGGACGACCATGATACAGTTTATGTTGAAGTTAAAAGTTCTGCAGTACATACATGTATGTAATAATTGGTAGTATTCTGTAATTTGCCGTTGCTGCCTTCTCCTGTTATTAGCCTCGCAAATTAGTTCGCAATAAATGTACACTGAACCCTGTGTAAACTTGACACCATATCCTAGTGCCGTCTACATTGACTTGATGAATAGTTAAAGGGGAAAAGAACTGTTATAAAAACATATTTTATAAATGAAAACAAAAACAAATATATACAGCCCAAAAAAAATTGACCTAAAAACTAGGTGAAGAAATAAAAATTGTACATGTTTTCCACCATATCCTCTCCAATAAGGTCTAACTTTAAAACTATAATATACTGGTAAAGTTTGCCATATATGATAGAATGTTTCAGAGGGTATTTTGTAAATCCAAACCATTAGTGCATATATCAAATTATATTATTTATTAAACGTTAAAATTGTATATCTTGTTGTACTATTGAATAATCTTAAATTAAAACTGAGCCAACGTATCATTTTCATAAGAAATAGATATGCTGAGAATGGATGCAATGGTAAATCAATCATTATCATTATCTCATGTATGTTTGACCTGTGTATTGTGTGAAAAGTACTGGTGACCATGTATTTATTTCTGGGTTTGTGAACAGCAGCATAGAATAACTTCATACGGTAATTAAGCGTCTTGGAAATCCAATCATTGGATTAAATTGTAGCCAAGTTATATTGTTAATTATAAAAAGAGTAATTAGTGTATCCATAGCAAGTTTTACGGGTTGTTCTGATCACCTGCCTCAGCATGTTTGTTTTCATGAATACCAAAACTATTTTGTTAAATACTTGTACATTTTCATTTCAGGGGATCTTTTTACTCCAATGCCTGTTACGGAAGACTTGTTATCAAAACTAAAGAAATTAGCCAACATTCCAGAAGAAGAAGTTAGTTTGAAAAACTTGGCAATTATTTCATTTCTGTATATTTATTTGGCTATTATGAGTCATAAAAGGTAATTTTTATTGAATACTTATCATTTACTTTTCATCTTGTTTTCAATACTTCATTAAATTAGAGAAAACCAATGACTGATAGTTTTGTCATTGCTGTGCCACAGTCAATGAACAAACAAAAGTCACACTTATTTAACTTTTTATTTACTCAACTTTCGCCTACTTACTTTTTTAGTTATTCATTATTAACTTTATTACATTTTAAACAACAAATTAGAAATGTAAAATTTTCTACACGGTTGTAATAAAGCTGTTATCTTATCTATGATTGATAGATCTATAATGACAATCTTACATTTTTCTACTTGGCTTTGAACCCCATAGCATATAAGATATATTACTACTGGACACTGTGACTTTGGGGTAACCTTGATTTGGGTAAACAGGATAAATGAGCCATATAATGTCAAGGACACAGTCACACTGTCAGGTTGTACAAAACATAAATATGGTTTCTGTGGCACAGCACTTTATTTATGATTAGCACCTGCTTTAAAAAACGAAGTTATTGATACTGTATATACTTTGTTACATTCCTCAGTCTAGTGATACAAAACATTTTCTAAACCAAGATACATTTAGAATCTGAGTTAGGTATTTAAGTATTATTAATAATACATCTTTCACCGAAACGCCATAAATTACAGTGTGCTGTAATTTTGTGGTATTGCACTGGGTATTTTCATCCTACCATATTAGGAAACTCAAATTCCAAATATGGAACGATTATGTGCGTGAACGTCCTCTAATAATAATAAAAACAAATATGACTGCCCCCAGGATTTGACCAGACTCCACACAAAGAAGTTCGCTGATTCTGTACTGAACGTTTTGGGTTTTAGCATTCCCGTGATGTGGTCCTGGGAAGAAAAAATGTATGCACTCAGACAGTACACGGGTGCATAGACATCTTCTGCGCGTCGGTTGATACTCCCACTGTTCTGTCTTTGTGCATACTTTGCAGTATTCTCTTAATAACCTCATATTATAATTAGTTATGTCAGTGTTGATTGTCATTAAATCACATCTGCAGATTTTTTACGTTTTTAACAGTAGCCATATTACTCTAGTCTTCAAGAGTGGGCTGTAGACACCAAAGAAATAGTGGTACAATCATGTGACTGAAATAAATGTTGTATTTAATTTTACAGAAAAGATGGATTACAGTCTTTATCTGTTAAAGTTACTTCCAATCTTCCAACTGGATCAGGTCTTGGGTCATCGGCTGCATATTCTGTTAGCTTAGCTGCTGCGTTACTTACCTACAGTGGGGTTGGTAAGTGTTGATATATACATTCCTGTTTAACTTTGTATTTTCTTTAGAACAGATTTTCACCTTTTGGTACATTGCAAATTTCATAAACTTTTTCTGTCTTATTTTAGTGACTCCAATTAATGATGAAAATGATAATAAATACATGAAATGGACAAAGGATGATTTGGAATTGATTAATAAATGGGGATTTGAAGCAGAACGAATTATACATGGAACACCGTCTGGTATTGATAACTCAGTCAGTACATATGGTGAGTATAGGTGAGAAATAAAACAGGTCTTTTATGTTCAAGCTGTTCATGTATTAGTTACGAATAGATTACTTCATTATCACCATGAGAAAGTTTGACATTTTTTGGTATGTAAATGATAATATAATAATGACAAAACAGCTCAATTAATGTCAGCAAAAAATGTCAATTTGTTATAATCTCGCCTCAGACCATGCTGTATCATTAAAAAAATACATGTTTTCATTCATATTACATCTTAACTGTCACAGGCTTAAGGTAGTGAGCAGGGTTTGATGACATTCTTGATTAAAGCTTTCTCTGACTATTATCTCATTCAGAACCATATATGTTAGTATATGCCTTTTGAAAGCCTAAGTATAGAGGGACAAATTCGCACAAACTAAACAGTCATTGTTTACATGATTACCACATGACAGCAAGAATAGCTAACATTGTAAAAATGACTAAATCCACGATTGCAAAAGTACACTGTAGAATTTCCGAGTGAAATTTACACAATGCATTGTCCTTAATAAAGTCTATTAAAATATGCCTTGATAATCAAACGACATATATTTCTTCTGATTGCTATGCAGGTTTTTTTTTGTTCCCTAATTATTTTATACTTAGCACCATTGACAGACTTAATCAGTGATGAAATATTTTTTTTTAAATACCAAATGCACCATCGCAAGAAGTGCGAGTTTGAATGTCCTAGCCCAATTGCTCTTGATTTGACAATGATCTAAATGAGTTGTATGAAATTATAACTTAAACTTGAGAAAAACGTTAAAAATTATTTGGGATAATAAAACACTTCTGATCTGCTGCATTATTATAAACATACACTAAGAATGGCCAAACTTAGGGACAACGTCAAAAGATTGATGTCGGATAAAAAACTTATTTCCTTTAGTTTGGGGGTGTGGGCGGGGGGTTTGACCTCAAAAAGTTTCCATCCTACAAAAATGATTTTATTTTTTATTGAAGTCAAAAAAATCTAGGAGTATTTGTAGTTCGTTTTTTTTTTTCTATCCAATCATGGACAGAAATAACCGAAAAGGGAAAAAAAACAGAAAAATGGTTTGGTTCGAGTGTAAATCTGTGCGTCAAATGAGGTGCATTTGTAAAATCTTTTTACACCCACCCGACAACCAACTGCTATGCAATACTACTGTCCGATTATCAATTTGTATTTAATGGTGAATGTAGTCTGACGCCATGACCGATATTCATCTATTAAGTTTCAGTGGGGGGTAGGGGGGTTTGGAAAAAAAGGAATTAAGTTTTTTATCCGACATCGATCTTTTGACGTCGTCCCTTATTAACCACTCATATCATAGAACTCATTAAACTTGTCAGATAACGAATAATTTCAAACGCGAGTGTGACAATTGAACAAAAACGCTGGCATTTTGAGTCCCGTACGGCTGGAGTGTTCAGAAGACATGGCTTCCATTGTTATGCAAATACACAACAAGGGATAATCCTTTGACAAACATTACTGTCTCACTGTACACGCTGGATGTTTACAAACAAGCTGATCATTCAAGTATCTGTGATATGAGATCTAATAAAACTATTATCATGGTGAAACCAAATGGCAGATGTTCAAACACAAGACCTTTATCGTCTGCTAATGTTGTCATCATTTCTGAGTACTGAATATATATCGGCTGTCAATACATAGCACCTGTGTAGGAATTAATGTGGAGAAATAGAACAAGATTCAAATACAATTCCATAATTGATTGTGAAATTGTAACCAGGTGAAAACCAACTTCATAGTTAATGCATTCACAAGAAACCACCAAGTCCAAATCCTGTGCTCAGTGAACAAATGTCACTAGGTTGAAAGATTATTTGACTAATTATTAAATTCTGTAACCAGATTTGTCACATCGGAAATCTAAGGACCATTTTTAACTCTGTCTGTATGTATGTCTGTATGTCTGTTCCACCATTATCTCAAGAACCAGACAACTATTAATTGCCATGCTACCTGTTTGAAAGCCTATTTTTAAATTTTGAATTAATTTTCAATATACCTTCAATACTCTCAGTACACAGGAGTTAAGCATTCTTTGATTAATATTGCATTTGACTATTTGATTTTGTGGTAAAGAACAGAGGTTGTCAGGCTATATATGTGTAAGTTATGGGTCTCATACGAACAAAGATGACAACTTTGGATATTGTGCATGTTTGAAAAAAAGTTGCGTAACGAAGGTTTATAAGTATGTAATTCCAGATATTGGAATGTGTTGATGTATATTTCAAGGAATTAAAATAAATATATGCACAATCTCATACATGCATGGCGTGGCTGGTACTGTCCTTTAACAAGTGAGAATGGAATTATAGTCACAGGACGTACTATGTTATAAAAGGCACATCACCCGATGCAGATGGTACAATGTATACAAATTTGTGTATGAAACGCTGTGTGTCTTTTTATCTCATTAGTTTTCAGCAATATTTATTTTCAGGTATGCTTAAATGATTATACAATTTTTGCACTAATTATTGATAAAACAGCAAAAACAATTACAGCCTAATTAAGTGTAATGAGCTTTTGGAAACAACAGATTACAAGTTCAAACACATTTTTTTTTTCTCAGGTGGTGCAATTCATTTCAAAAGAGTCAAGGACACGGATGGTGAGATGGTGCCCCAAATAACCCCACTGCAAAGGTAAAATAAGATTTCAGAGCGTATTAATTAATGCATAATTCAATTGTACTGATACAATTACATGTAGTCAGCAACTCATTAGGACTAATAACAAATTCATGGACAATCATCTATGTGTGTTCTCTGAGGTTAATTTTGTAATGAAGACCACGAAAGTTCACAAGGATGTATTCAATTGCTTAATTTCCTGTCCAATATACCATTTGTCAGCCTGTATTTTATCCATGTTGTGTTAGTGCACTGCCTCTGTATACTTGTTGTTTTCTATGAACAACAGATATTTATTACAATAAAAAAACTAAGTTTGTGTACTAGTCTGAAAACGGTTATTGTTTTAGATGTGAATTGAATTGAATGATCTTGTGTGTAATGCTTGTTACAGGTATCTCAAAGTGTGTAACAGCTGCTTCATTGACTTGCCTGGCAAACATAATTCACCCTTTTTTGTGATCTATTATTATTAGTAAAATTATAAAACCAATATTTTGGATAGCTTAAAGTAGGTTTTAATTTTTAGCTCTGCTGTCGACTTTGTCGAGCGGAGCTTATCATATGAGTGATTGTCCGTCGTCGTCCGTCGTCTGTCGTCCGTGTCAATGTTTTACTTTTTCAACTTCTTCTTGAAAACTACGAGCCTGAATGCTTTGATACTTTGTATATATGTACCTTGGGTAGACCTCTCTCAGATTTGTTCATTTCATGATCATACATGTATCTTCAATTCTCTGATTTTGGTGAATATTGTTGTCATTTTTGGTAAAAAGTGATATTTTCGACTTCTTGTTAAAAACCGCAAGTGCAATTGCTTTGATATTACATATATAGGTACTACATGTGGACCTCTCTCAGATTTGTTCATTTTGTAATGATATCTTCAATTCTCTAATTTTGGTGAATATTTTTGTAATTTTTGGTAAAAAGTGATATTTTCGACTTCTTGTTAAAA